GTTTCAGGCAAAATTCAGGCTTTTGAGTCCTGCCTCCATGTGACTGATACTCACATCACATGGCTATGGTTCACACCTAGGTGTACAATTTTTTTTCCGTATGGGTTCTAAGATTTCATTTGTTGTAAGAGACCAAACAGGTAAACAGTACGACATGGTTGAGAGTATAATGGCATGAAGATAGATATTTGAAACAGAAGATGTCAGATTGGATCTAATTTTTGAATAAACGTATAATTTCTGTTTCAACTTAGTGGTTAAGGCTTGTACAAGATTAACAAACAAGCTGAATAATAAACAAACAAAATAAACAAACTGAGAAACTAACGAAATAACAGATTAACAAACACACAGCAACAAACAAACAAAACAAACTAAGAAATGAACAAAATAACAGATTAGCAAATTGAGCAACAAAAAATAACAGATTAACAAACAAACTGAGCAACAAACAAAATTAACAAACTGAGAAAAACAAAATAACAGATTAAAAAACAAAATGAGTGATGAAAAAAATAACAAATAAACAAAATGACAGATTAACACACAAACTGAGTAACAACTAAACAAAATAAACAGCTACATGACTCAGAACCTGCCAACAAGTTCCATCATTACAGAACACCTGACTGCACAGATCCCACCTGTAGAATCAGGTCTAGTTAGGTCCTGGTCCATGGTACCAGTTTAAGAAATGGACACATTGGGTCTAGTTGGGTCTTGGTGTATGGTCTTGGGCTGACAACTAGACAGTCTTGGTCCATGGTCTATAAACCATGACGGTGAACAATCTTTGTTTTCAGCTCATTTGAAAGTTGTTTTCAGACTCCCATGCTGCCATTCTTCAGAGAAGATGCAAAGAGGAGAAAAACTTACAATTGCCCCCTTAAATACCCTTTCTCATAACTGGAGTCACCTGTGGATAGAGGTCAAGGGTCACTGAACTTACCAAACCAAATTTGAGTTCCAGTAAAGGTTTTGAAATCAATAAAATGACAACAGTGTCCAAATTTATGCACTGCCTAATTTTATTTAACCAGTTATTGCACACATTCTGTAAATAATTTAAACTTCATTTCACTTCTCAAATATCACTGTGTTTGTCCCCTATATGATATATTTAACTGATATTTTTTATCCAGACAATCAATGATTTATAAAAGTAAATCAGGAAAATTAACAAGGCTGCCCAAACTTTCGCACCTCACTGTAAATCTGTGGACTATCAGGAGGTTTACAGCTGTTTGTTATGATTTAAATGTTCGTCTTTATCGTGACATGCTTTGCATTCATTAAACTGCAATAGCTATTGTTTTTAAGGAGTTTAAACTTCTTGTTTATTTTTGAAACTTCTACAGAAACAGAACATTTTGAGCAGAAATGCGATTCCATAGAAATCACAAGTGTTTTATGTTCAATTACTGCAACTCTGATCCATTTAAAGGACGACCACAGACCTCTGCAGACGCCAAAGCACCTGGTAAGAAATAGTTTTTCCCTTTTTTTGTTCTACTTTTATTTGGTTTTGTGTATTATTAGAAGTTCTTAACAAAGAATAGGTTGTCTTCTGTGCACAAACGGATTTTCATTGTGTGCCAGTGTTGTTTTTGTACTTTCTGCTGTAAGGATGTTGAGTTTCATATCATTGCTCTGTAGGTTTTTGAGTTTGTTCTTGACATTGTTTCCTTTCTTAAAGCGGATTCAAACATGGAGGAGTTTCAAATAAAGGACAGTGACAGCGGTGGCACCATGCCAGGAGTGGCAGAGGTAAGTCAATGTTCAATCTAAGCACTCTGAAAAAACGTTACACTGTCTCATGTTTACACTGGTTGGTAGGAGATGTCAAATGTACTTAAACCAGTTGAATTATAGAAAATTTAAGGAAACATTATGGCAAGACTTAGTTTAATTTCAAATTGAACCACATTTAAAATGTAAGCATGTGTGGAATCTATGGAAAATACACACACAGCACAGAATTCTGTTGCTTGGAGAAGTTTTGTTTTCCTTTTGAACAACAAAAATGTTCAATCACTCCTGAAATCAGCTTTCCATACAAAGTATTCACCATAAAATCGAAATATTTCATTTTATTTCTGACTTGTACGAAATCAAATCCTGAACCACTACTGCAATGGTTTCCTCTACTCTTGTGTTTCAGAAAGAGACCTACAAAAGTCCAGATGGACCTGAAGACAAAGGTGGAGGTGGTTTCGGTGAGGACCAACTGATCCAGTCATTCAAAGCTCCAGAAGGACCAAACAGCAGCAGCCAGAGTGAGGAGAGCTCCAGTGAGTTAGAGAGTTTCAACCATCAACTCAACAACTCAGGTGAGAAGCCCTACACCTGTGACCACTGTGAGAAAGGATTCAACCGTAAGGGAAATCTGAAGAGCCATCAAAGAGTCCACACTGGTGAGAAGTCCTACAGAGAAGCGTAGATATTTGCTGATCAATAAAGCAACAGATTTGAAGTTTCATAAAGTTTATAAAGTGTTTTTTTTTTCTGTAAAACCTATCATTAAACTTCTTTGATAACTTTAAACTGCTTTCAATTGAAAAAAAAAATCAGCTTTTATGTTGTTAAAGTGACAACAGAGATGTTTATATCACAGTGATTAGGAAGTGATAGGTTTGAGTTCTATTCTAACTCTCACATCAATCTGTCAATCCCCATCTGGTCGGGTCCAGATGAGAAGTCCAACTCTAGGACCTACAGCGATCCTGGTCCAGGTGTGTTCAGGTGTTCTTACCTGCACATGATCTCGTGTGTGAGCAGAACTCGGCACATCTCTGGGTTCTTGTCCTGACCTTCATAGATGATGGCCTGAAACACCAAACACACACATGAAGATCTGAGTTCAGATCAGACACACCTGTAAACCAGAACCAGCAGCAGAACCAGCAGAACCACCTCCATTAGGACTCATTGTCAGTGGTGTGTGACCAAAACGTGCTGCAGAACCGAAACCTTTGAGCCTCTCAGTGTTTTGCTCCAGACTCACAGAAACCAGCTGGAACCAAACGTCTTTTCTACAAAGACTCAGAAATGAGGGCTGACGAGCACGCTTTTTAAAGCGCACTAATTACTGTATTTATTCATGTATAATATGATCTCATGTATAATATGATCTCATGTATAATACGACCACCCCTTCTTTTGAGTTTAAAAAGCATAAAAAATTGAATCCTCAAACTACCTCCAATTTCATACAGACTTCAAGATTTTTCAGCCTTTGCAGTCTTTATACATATCAGTAAAATAATCATTGAACTGTTCATTTTATTTTAACAACATACGTACTAAAAGGTATTTTGACAACAAATATATATCAGCTGTAGCAGCATCATATGAATTCTGGCATTTTACACATAGTCCACCAGGAGGCGCCAACACAAAAGTCAGAGACTTCACATGAGATTTGGACCATCTTGTGGGGAAAAGCAGATTACTTCCTACTCACGAGCGCCCCCTCTGGTGGGGAAACTTTTTTTCAGGGAAACAAACTTTTTCAGAACACCGGTAGACGGCAGCCATTACAGACGAACGTGTTTGTTGTTGTTCGAGGAGCAGCTCGGTCACACACTAATGTCATTAGTTTGTTATCATCACTAAGGTGCAGGAATACTTTTTACCCCCGTTTCTTCACATCATGTCTCCTGCCTGGATCTGTTATTATCTCACTCTGAAGCACAGAGGAGTGTCAGAGGTGAGCTCGTTTCAACTGCTTTTTATGACGCAGTCTCATTCCCGGACTCAATAATTTTGCCGATATTTCAGTTAAAATACATCAGTAAAAATATTTATCCAAGTATAGTACTACCCCCCAACTTTATGGATGATTTTATGGATTAAATTTTACATATTATACACAAATAAATACGGTAAGTGACTCATTGAGTTTAAACGATGCTGATTTCTATTAGTGTCAGAGCAGAGAGGCTGCTGACGGAGCTCCGTCTGTCCAACACCAACGGATCCTGGATGGACCCCTTAAAAACTCTTCACCGGTGCCTCCTGCAGGAGCATGGAGGAGTCCTCTGAGAGCAGACAGGCTTTTACTGTCTGAAACTTTAAAAACCTCCGAGTCCAAAAAAGGAGCAGAACTCATCAAAAACAGAAACGTTGATTTATTTTTTTATTTCCTGTCAGAATAAAACTTATTTAATTTGTTTCTAAATCTGAATTTCAGGTTCCCTGCTGGAACCAGAACGAATGGAGCCTATAAATGAGAAACAAGTCCAAGCGCTCAGTTCTGGGCCGGGATCAGGTTCTGGTCCTGGATGGATCGGTGCCGCCTCAGTGTACCGTCTCTGATGGTCTGAGGTTCCTTCCGATGAGGTTTCACCTCTCAGCAGGTGGATCAAACTACCTGCTGAGCTCAGAAATTGATATTTGTTTGACTTTTTACTTCCATCACAGAGATGGTGTTGTGTGTGTGTGTGTCTGTGTGTGCGTCTGTGTGCGTGAGCAGATTAGCATGGAGTCGACAGCGTGTGTGTTTGCTGAGGAGGTGAAACTGTAACGAGCCGAGTGGCTCCGTGTGAACGAACACGAAAACAGAGAAACAGAACAGATGCTTCAAACACCAACAGCTGGTTCTGGTAAAAACCAGGTTTGCAACAACTCACACACACACACACGCACACGCACAGGCACAAACACACACTGTGACTTCTACACTTGACACTTTACGCCTCACTCACGCACCAACAAACACGTCGAGGCGGCGAGGCCTCGGTTCTGTTCAAAGACGCTGCAGCTCCCCCGAGGCTCTGATTGGAGGACGGCCACTGGGCCGAGCTGCAACCTTTAACAAACAAACACAACGACACACAATCCACACAACTACACACAACCCCAGAGACGTACAGCAAAGCGCAACAAACGCGCTGACCCGTCAGGTCTGACTGTAACATCGGCCTCAGAACACCAGAACCAAAACAACCTTTTATTTGAACTGACTCATCAGAAAAACAACAAATGTGACAGGAAGTGTCATGTTCATCTGCTGAGGAGGAGGAGTTAAATCTAATTACTGACTTCAGTTAATAAAAATACAAATAAACATTTTAATTAGGAGGAAACCTGTTTTAAGATGTACTGGATCTGTTCCAGTCCTCGTCTGGTTTTTCACTCACCTGTTTGGTCATGGAGTCGATGAGGCGGACGTACAGGTCCTGCTCGGTTCTGACGCCTGCGCACAAACCAGCAGCGGTTATTGTTACACATGTGGGGCCGTCAGGGCCCAGTCTGACACTTTCATCCACCCCGTGTCGCAAAACAAGCGCACCCACCGTTGCTGTAGAGAAGCTGCAGTTTGTAGTGGATCCCGTTGTTGGTTTTCTCCCCGCTCGGCTCCTGGAACCACAGAAGAAGAGCAGGTTGGTTTTCTGAAGCCTGGTCTGAGTGGAGAACAACGACCCAGGAAGTAGTCAGTCTCTGATCCACCGGCTCTTTTCATGGCATAAAAAACTACGGTAACT